GACAAAATTGACTCACTTTGATTGACATTTCAGTACAACGTGTAGTTAAAGTCTATCAAAGTTAACTGAAATCGTTTAAAGTTACAAATCAAAATAAATTGCTTATTTTGGGACAAAGTGATTTTCTTCATACAAAAACATAAATTCAATCAACTACAGTCAACTGAATCTAAAGTCAGTCAGTCATTTTTTTTCCACACGGGCTTCTTTTGGAAAGAAAAGAGTTGACAAATATGTGTAATTTGAAGTAATTTTGAACAAACATTGAATAGTTCTTATCAATTGGTTTTCTGAAAATTGTTTGATTGAGCTCACCTAATTTTTGCAGATTCGAAATTAAAAAATTTGGTGATGCCAAAACACTTGAAATGAAATCTCAACATTTGCAAAAGTAAAGTTAAAAAAGAAAATAAAACAATAATCATCCAAAATGTACAAAATCCATCGAAAAAGTATTGAACCACTCGGCCAAATAAATAAATGTTCCTATTTGCTGATTTCTTGCATTCAAACAGAAAACGAAAGAAAAAAAAGAAGAACTGAACGAATCTGAACAACAGATATCCTTTTCACTGTTTTCACAGGTAACAAAGGATGTTTTGATATATCAATCAAAACATTTCGTCATTCGTTTTCAGCCACCGCAGAAAAAAGACCGAGCTCCTACCTACACAAAAGAAATGTGTAGCTTCATTCAGTCCAATTTGTTTAATGATTATTCTATCTGTGATTAAGAAAAAGCAGCGTATGTCATTCCGAGTCTCAAACAAAGCCATTTGTATGTAAAGCGCCAAAAAAATTGAATTTTTTCAGGAAATTTATCGAGAGCAGCAGTAGTTGGGCATTTGTTCAAATAAAAGTGACGATGAGATTTGATTTAGACAATTAACTCAATTCTTCTCTTTTTTGTTTGTTGGTTCACACTTTGTGTGCGTCCTCAATTTTGTGTGGTTACCCCGAATGAATGGAGGCAAAAAGTATTGGGTTTTTGGAATGAGTTGAATATTCCTTGAATGAACTTGAGAATGACGAAAGGATGAAGCATTCAGAACGAAACAGAAGTGAAATTTGATCCTAATTATGAATTGATCTGGATGTGAACGTGTGAATAAAAAAAAAGTGTTTACCTGTCGTGAGCGTGCAAGAGAAAATCCAAATGCGAAGGAATATTGTCGTCGAGTTTTGAAGCGATTGTGTCGTTCGATTAGTTTGTCTATATTTGGAAAAGCAATCAGCGATACGTATTCATTACAACCTCCTTTTTGATGCACAATGTCAAATTCGATGACGAGTTTTATCGCATTGAATAATTGCAGTTTTGCTGGTGGGAGAGAGAGAGAAAGAGTGCGAGAATTTAATCGCATTTCAAAGATCAATGTTTGGCAATGGTAACACGATATTTTATCGATTTAAGACGACATTTGACAAATAATAATGAGTTTAGAAATTGAACTTGTTGTTTGATGACTGCTCAAACAATCTGCTGACATCGTTGCGATCAAAACACCTTTTTAGACGTCATTCATGGAATTCCAAATGGGATTTTCGATTGAATTAAACGTTAATCAGCAGCTTTGTCGATGTGCTTCGTCGTGAGGTGAACAATGAACAGTTTGATATGGTAAAAGTCTCGAAAATGTGATTATTATCACATTTTCAACGGTGACGCACATTGATTAACAACATCATTAAATTTAATTGCGAATTCAACGGAAAATTGAGTAAATCAAAGATTGAGCGCGAGCTGTAATTTACATTCGGCTTCCATTCAACGACGACGGAACATTTTCCGATGCCTTGAATTGCTTTGATTATTTTGTGATTGAAGTCGCTTTGCGATGATGAGGTGCTCCAGTGATTGTGCGCCGCACCGCTCAACACCATTCAATTTACATTAGAATTATGGAATTATGAAATCATTGCATTAATATTATAATTTAGCAATTGTCAATCGTCGCGCAGCGGTGCTGTTCGCTGTGAATTCACCTTCCTGCGCTCATAATTTGAATCCTTTTCAATTCAATTTGAATAAATTCACTCGCAATTCAATGCGATTTTTCACAATTTTTTTTTTGTTCTTCCTTTGCGCAAACTGCCACTAATTGGAAACTTCGTTAGAGATTTTTTTTCTCTCCTCGATGCAACTGAATAAATTTGAAAGCGCCAAAGACAGTGAGAGTGCGAGCGAGCAAGAGATAGAGAGGCAGTGACTTCAATTGAAAATTGCTCTCTAACAAAAAGTTACGTGCTGTAGATCGTGAGGTGCAAAAATCATTAGCACAGCCATTGAACGTTTTGCACGTTTGTGTTTACATTCGAATGGCGAATGTGTGATGGAAAACGTATAATTTATTTACGTTAGAGCACCTCGGATACTTTGCTACACTCATTCGAAAAGACTTCGACAAAAAGTATTAACTTCTCTCTCATTCTTTCTCTCCTCGCTCTGCTTTTTTTTCCTCATTTTGCTCGTTGCCATTAGCACCACCCTTAACGCAACACAACACAGCCAAGCCCGTTCCATAACAATTTTCACTGTGTCTCTTGCGCTTTCTTCTTTCTTCGGCGACTCAACTACACACATGCGATCTTTTAATACACAATCCCATTCGAATGACATTTTTTTCACTCTATGCGATAAACTCCAGTCCTCTAATGGTTAATGTTTGAATAGAATACAGTATGTGTGTGTGTGTGTGTGTGTGTGTATGTGTCGAACGTACGGCGACTTGGTTGAATTCAAACTTAAAATCAAATCATACACGTATATCCTTCATTTCATCGTCGTGAATCGAACTAGCACTCTGTGGAATTGCGGATTTTCTCGTAGAAATGATACAAGAAAATCAACACGGAGTACTTGAATCATGAAATTACAGTTTTTTTTCTAATTTGCGCTGAGTACGTTTTCTTAACGCAACAGACCTACATTCACATGAATACCTTCAGTTGCAGCCACATCCAAATTGCAAAAGAAACACATCAGCCACCCGACGAAGCTCATCATTTCTAATGCGATGTGTCGTCGTTATCATCAAACACATTTCAGACGGTGACTGTAATTAACGATAAAATATGAAAGAGATGTCTTTTGAATCGCATCATCTCCGAATTGAGTGTCATGTGCCATCGTCTTGTCAGCAGGATGAACACCGACATTAGTTCATTATGACTCTTTTCTTCTGCTTCGAATTAACGATTATGTTCAAGGCATTTGTGTCATTTTCTGTTCACTTGCTTTAAATGCGTTAAAAAAACCGTCGAGAATGCGCCGAACCAACGAATCGACTCATATTTCATCTGTTTTACGCCGACAGAGGCCTCATTTCTAAATGACTATGAAATTTAATGGAATTTAATGCATTGAACGAAAATAAAAATAAATGATAACTTTTTTCAAAAGACAATAGAATGCGTTCTCTCTTTGTGGTTACTACACTCATTATAACCAAAGCCATCCAATTTATTTACGCATTTACAATTCGCATTGTTTTCAATTGCGAATCGACCGAAGTGAAAACACAAAGGTTTTTTTTGAATTAAAAATATTCATGAATGAATATTACATATTCTGGCACTCGGAGATCAAAATTTTTGCGAAATAACTCAATGTTCAAACAAACTAGGAATTTAACAAATCATTGATTTGAAATCAACAGACGGAAAAATTAATCATTCCAAATTTTAAGAAGAAAATTTGGAAGACATAGAAAGATCTCAGAAATGATTTTGATTGATGGTTACCGAAAAAAACGTCTCATCAAAGAATTAATGTATGATTTGTTGCATTTTCTTCCTCCGCTCGAGAAAAATTCACGACTTATAATCCTTGCTTTGGATTTCAAGCTCCTTAGGAAAAATTGAATTAAATAACAAAATTCATGAGTGAAACCTGTTTTTTTTTAGTTCAACATCAGCAGTTCAATTTAATCACTTCACTAAAATCGTGCATTCAGGCAGATTTTGTTCCTGGAGTGTTCGTTTGCAAACTACGCTTTTTTCCCATATTATTCTCTAAATAAAAATCTCTTTATCTTTTTAGCGTTAAATGAATCCTGCTCAAGGTGATTGCGTGTGCAAATTTTCGCATGTAATATATTCATCTTTGGTTCGGAGGTTGGAGTTTTACGGCATCGTATAACAATACCTTTGATAGCACTTCGTTTTTTCTTCCTTAACTGCTCGTTCAAGCACAAGCATCGTGAGCACCTATTATAAAATATGCATTTTTGAGTTTCACAATGCGCGCGCTCTCTCTCTCTCTCTCTCTCTCTCTCTCTCTCGCACTCAATGCTTCCCAAGCACAAAATTGCAGTAATAATCATTTGTTGTGTGTGTGTGTTTTGTTTTCATCAGACACTTTTAGTTGACGTCGCCAAACAATCAACCTGACTGAAAAATATTCGTCGTCTTCTTCTGTATCGTCGTTGCCACCATCATTGCCGCCCCATTTTATTGTTGATGCGAGAATGATTTGAATAATTTTATCAGAAAATCTGCTGCTGCTGCCGCTATCCACCTCATTACGATGGGATTCTTTGTGATAATATGTCATAAAGTCTTTAAGCGTTTACGTCATTATCCGTTGCAAAAGACTCACTTTATTTTTTGTAGTTTGTTCATTTCGACGTTTTTTTTAATGCATTCAGTCAGAGAAAATGCATTGTTTGCTTATGAAGCGTCAGATCTTCGCTTTGGCCTGTGATTTGTGATTGCATCCTTTGATGTTTTGTGTTGCTTTTACGTCCTTTGATGTTTGCTTACAAAAGTCGAAAATATTCATGCCTCAAAGTCGAGTAAACTCGAGAGAATGGGTAAGATAAGCGAAATGTCTTAATTCTTTCTCTCTTTGTATTCAAACAAAACGCTTTCTGTTCGTAATCAGGAGTGATTGCGACAAAAGCGTTGCAAACTTTGAAATCAACGATCATTGTAACCTTCTCCACTTGCCGTCACTCCATTGAAATTACAGTGGCGCTGTAGTCACTGAGAGACCGCACAACAACCACAAATGACATATCCAAAATAGAAACATAACCAAGCGAGTTGCTTGTGAAGAAATCACTTGAAGCTGGAAAAGAAGGTAAATAAACTAAATTTTTTTTTAAACATTTAATCAAAGGAAATCAATGAAAAATGTCTTGTTTTATTCAAAAAGGGTGAGCATTTATCAGAATGTTGTTGAATCGTGTACTGACAAAGACTTTAACATCAGTCTCATCGAGTGGATTTCACACGACCGCCGTATGCAATGAGATTCGAAAATTGGCGAGGCTTCGGGTTGTAGATAATTGTGAGATTGGTAAAAAAGCGATGGCCGAAGGAAAGCCCCCGCGCGTCATTCATGTTTATAATAAAAAATCGATCGGTTACACGGGCGACATGGTTCTGTTGGCCATTAAGGGAGAGAAGAAAAAGGGCATTCTCGTCGGATGTAAACAACAACAAAAAATCAAAGTTCCACGATTCGACACGAACAATGTGGTGCTGATCGATGATAATGGCACTCCACTCGGCACTCGCATCCAAGTTCCAATTCCAAATATTCTGCGGACGATCATGAAAGACAAGACACACTCAAAAGGTGCTGATTATACTAAATTGTTGGCGATAGCATCTCGATTCGTGTAACTACCCATTAAAACCATTAGTTTATTTAGCAAATCGCTTGTTTTATTAATAAAGATCCATATTGTTGATAATGAAATCGAATGGGTGTTCTTTTTGGTTTATGGTTTGATGAGAATGAACGTGAGTAAACAGATTTTGTTGTAAGTCCAAGTCCACTGATGAATGGAAAAAAAATATTTGATCAAGAAATAGAAACTTTAGAACTAGTTCTAGTCAACGCTTAACCAGTGAATGCTTTCTACAGACAATGTGAATGAACAACTTCATATTTCATTTCATTTTAATATAAAGAACCTGAGATTTTATCAATTTTTCAGCATTTTCTCGCTTAAATCTCTCTTCTCCCTACAAAAATTGAATGAAAAAAAGACGAAACCGTTGCTTCTATCCCTCTAAAAGGGGCATTCATAAATCTCACTTAAGAATTTTATTTGCTTCTTAATCCAGCATTAACAAACATAAATTTTCAAAATTGTACCAAATAAAATCACAGTCGTCCAGAACATACATTCATTCATTTGCATTCATACTACGTTTATACACAACAATTTTGAATATCAATCGTTATATCTGATGTAGATCGTATCGTTCTTATTTGCCAGCATCGTTCTGTTTGATTTTGTAGTCAGCAAGTGCTGCTTTGATTGCATCCTCGGCCAACACTATAAACAAAGAAATTGTATAAATATATATTCAGTGTACTGCGTCATTGTTTGTAATTGCGTTTCAAAAAAAAAATCGATTTCGAAACTGAAGCAATCGTTTCGTAATTTTCATTGATTATTCCGTATTTAATACGTACTTGAGCAATGCAATTTGACTGGTGGCAAGCAAAGTTCCTTCGCAATGTCCGAATTCTTAAGGTTGCCAGCTTCATCGACGGTTTTTCCCTTCACCCACTCCGTGGCCAATGATGACGATGCAATTGCCGATCCACAGCCAAATGTTTTGAATTTTGCATCAATGATTTTACCGTTTTCATCGACTTTAATCTGCAATTTCATGACATCACCGCAAGCTGGTGCACCAACCAAACCGGTGCCAACACTTTTGTCCGCCTTGTCCAATGATCCAACATTCCGTGGATTTTCATAATGGTCCAAAACCTACGGCAAAAAGTTTCAAAACAAAGTTCAGCTGTTTTGATTATACTTGTTTCAGTGGAGAATGCATGCACTTACATTTTTGTGGTACAAAGCAGCTGGAAGGCTTTGAACTCGTCGAAGTTTTAACAGGGTTGATGGTCGAAATAAAGCCATTCTTTGTGGCTGCTTTCAAAGTTGTCGTTCGTTGAAAATTTTATTTTTTCAATGCAATCGGTTCTATTACGTTTCGGCTTCTAATGCGCAGTCTTGTGCAATGGTACAATTCGTATAACTTCAATTATCTATAGAACTATTCTGCACACATTGCATTGACAGACGTCAAAAGTAAAGTATCACATGCGATTTCAAGGGCGCATCGATACTTAAGCAGAACGTTCAAGTACTTTCTATTGCATGTGATTGTGAAATTGACTAAATAAATATTTTACTGCAATTTTCAGTCGATTAAAATTATTTTCCGAATAATATAATTCTTCTATTCATTTTTATCGTTGAATTTATGCAGAAAAAATCGTCATTTTCGCATCAAAAGTGTTAAGTATGTGAAGATGGCGCGAAATGGTAATGGAATTTTTTTAACCGATGCTAGCGCTGCCCACAAATGCACGCATACACACGTACACATTGAGTATCCCGCATAGCATACATAGGCCCGCCATATTTGCATATACACACGATTAGGTTTTCTTGTGTGACACGCGACGACGACAGACATTTTCGATTATCATACACATTGAGAAAGATCACTTTTTTTGCGCCTGTGGCTGGACGAACACTTCTTTCTTTTTTGTGTGCGAATTTTCACGTTTTTATTTCGTACGTCCGAATTTAAGTAGCCAGAAAGTTCCGCAAACTAAGCACTACTGAGTGCGTGTGAAACCGACCATTAGATAGCGAAATAGAAAGCCGAGACATTCTTTGCGATAGCAGGAAAAAACTCAACCAAACGAGAATCAATTTATTTTTCCAGTGGATTTATTTGTTTATCGTATGTCCATCCAAAATTTAAATACCTTTGACCCATTTGCTGATGGTAAGTAGAAAAAAAAATTTGTTTAATTATTTTGGTATATTTTTTTCTGTTTAAAAGCATTTTTTTTCTGGTGAAAAGTGATTAGTAATCAGAAGTTATAGTACAACAGGAGAAAAAAAAACGTATGCATAGAGTAGACGAGGTGAACCGGAGACGAAGAATCAGCATATTTCTATCTCTTTCTAAGACCTTTCTAACCATAAATTTTTTTTCTACGTAACTCGTTAAACGTCTCCATTTTTTTGCGCTCGCTATAAATACTCGATGAGTTATAAATTGTTTTGAAATAAAAAAAATTTAAGGTTATTTTCCATAAACGGTATAAAGTCATATTTATGATGATTCATACCGTCATCATTTCTATCAGCTTGAAATCAAGCAGTTATGAGTTTCCGTATTTTATCCCCCACTAATTAATGTAAACGTCATATTGTGTGCTGTCTCTTTGTGTCACACGATTTGCTGTTCTGTCCTTTTTTTTCTTTTTTTCTTGACTTTTTTCGCATTTTTTTCTCCGTGATTCTAATCACATGCGATTCTTTTCTTCTGTTTTTTTTTTCTCGTTTAATTTATAGCAACAAAGGGTGCTGATGACAGCGTACAAGACGGCCTCGTTCACATTCGAATTCAACAGCGAAGTGGTCGAAAGACATTAACAACGGTACAAGGTCTATCAGCCGAATATGATTTGAAGAAAATTGTACGCGCCTGTAAAAAAGAATTTGCATGCAATGGTACAGTGATCGAGCATCCGGAGTATGGTGAAGTGTTGCAATTACAAGGTGATCAACGTGAAAACATTTGCCAATGGCTCACTAAAGCTGGTTTAGCCAAGTCAGATCAACTGAAAGTGCACGGTTTCTAAGTGTCTTCGTTTCATTTTTAAATTGCACACATACACACACACACACTCCCCTTTGCTCTCATCAACACAAACAAACACTCAACTCTTATCAAAATATCAAATGTTACATCGTTCATCGTATACCGTGCGGACAACAACACTCGCAGTTCGCCCTCACGACGACCACGACATTTTTTTAAGAACATAATTTTTTTATTCGTTGTTTCCCAGAGTTATGCTTTAATTCATAAAGCTTCTTCATGTACATTATTATTATAGAATCGTTCACAACAATAACATAATAATAAATAACATAGAAAATGAACAAAGGTACGACAATCGCATTTTTCTTTTATTTTTTTCTACTGGTTTTCAGGGAGATTACGACTTTGGGCAAAGTATTTGATATGCAAATACACAATCATGATTTTTTGTGGACATGAAACAAAGTTAAGTATATTTTGAGTGTAACAATAAACGTTGATTTATTCATGTAATATAATATCTAACTAAAATGAATGCCATGCTTATTGAAACAGTACAATAAATTCATGAAATCGTCCAGATCCATTGTGCGGGCACGTTTTTCGCTGGCTTCAGCCTCTTGCAACACACTTTCGACTAGTTGTTTGATGTCAAAATCGGGCCTGATTTCCTGTGAACATCGAGAAAAAAAGGTGTCGTTATTATTATCAATTCATGAAAATGGCATCAAACAAATGACTCATCCAAACAAAACTGGCTACTTTCGAAACGATGAGTCTAACGAAGTAGAACTTACCTGATTTTGCAGCGAAGCTTGCAGTTTGTAGTTATTTTCAAGCATTTGTAAAACCGAAGACTGTTTGAACGAAGCGGCCAGTGTTTTGTTTTTGCGCAAGAAGGCGATCCGAGTGAGGCCATCCCATTCGGTGAAGTTGATTGCTGGCGGTGGATTTCTGGGTTCGATACGCACAACGCTCGATTCAACTTTTGGTGGTGGTTTGAAGTTATTTTTGCCAACTTTCATGAGCATATCGACACGAGCCAACAATTGTGTATTGATGCTCAAGCGGCAATAGAACTTATCGCCCGGTTTGGCCACGAGACGCTGAGCAAATTCTCGTTGGAACATAAGTACGGCACATCGGAAGATCGGCCGGTGCAGTAACAGTTTGAACACAAGCGGTGAACTGATCTGATACGGTACGTTTGCAATGCAAATGTCAAAAAATGGAAACTCTGACTTGAGCGCATCGCCGATAAGAATTTGCAATTTGGATTGGTATGGCGTTCCTTGGACACGCTTCTGTAACTCAGCCACAAGCCGGGGATCGATTTCACAGGCAACCACTTTTTTCGCTTTTTCCAAAATTTTCACTGTCATGTTTCCCGTACCAGGACCAATTTCCAACACAACATCTGTCGGTCGCAAGGCTGACTTCTCCAGCATGCTTGTGATAACCAGAGGATTCTTCAAAATGTGCTGACCGAAATCCTTATTGAATACAATTCCTACAGATAAATACGTCAACCGGAGATTGGAATTTATTTTCAGAAATTTAGCCAATTTGAGAGGTTACAAACCTTGTTTCTGTACTTCATTGTGAATTCGGTGTTTCTTTTCAGCGATCACCTTCGGCATTTTGTAGTGTTTAACGAATTATTTACCAAGAAGCAACCAATTTCGCAGTTATTATTCCAAAAGTGTATGCACGTGTTTACAAATTCAACGAATTGAAGAAAGAATGCATATTGAATGTCAAAGTGATTGAGGAGATGGAGCGGTTTGTCACCAGATGGCGCCACTCACCAATGCGCACACAAAACATCAGAATCTAGTTAATGGATCGAATCAATTTTATTGGTGATATGTAATAGTTATTACATTTCCATTTTCATATGAACGGTGGAAGTTGGCTTGGTTCGGGTTCGCACGCGTCTTTGGACTTTGTTGAAAAAATGTGATTTATAATGAGCTGTCATATTGTACTTTTGGCCAAATGCTTTGCCACATTCTGGGCATTGGTGTCTTTTGATGCCAGTGTGCGTTACTAGGTGCTGGTTGAGCTGTGACGTTGTTTTAAATTTCAACGGACATTCTGGGCACTGTTTGTTACGAACTTCGGTGTGCGTCGTTTGTAAATGCATCCGAAGTGATGATTTGTGCACAAAGGTCTTTTCGCATTTATCGCATTTGAAGAATTTCTTGTCGGCCTAAACGAAACCAATTAAAAATTGGAATTTCTACGAATTTCTCTCGAATTTGATAAGAAAAATAACATTTTAGCTTACATGAATCCGCATGTGTAAGACCAGGTTGGCTCGATGTTTCAAAATCGTGTTACACACCACACATTTCAGCTGATTCTCATGTAAACCGACATGGTTGGCTAATGACTCATTGGTGCTTTCGGTGATGCCACATATTTCGCATCGAAGATTGCTATCGCTTTCGCCGGTTGATACTTCTCCACGACTGGATTCAGCCTCATCATTTGAGCAGTGTTCAATTTCATGATCTTGGCGTGCATGATTTCTCAGTTCCAACTGATTGTCGAACACCTTTTGGCAAACTCCACACTTCTTTGGGGTATGATAGCGTAGTTGATGTTGCTAAGAAGGGAAAATAGTTTTTCAAAAAAAAAAGCATAACTACATTTCTTTCTATTGAAAGAATTTGACGAATTTTTCGTAGCACTAATTTACCTTCAGCTCTTTTTTGGTACCGAATGGAATGTCACACTCCTCACAGCCGGCGTGACTTTTCCGCTTAGCTGGTGTGAAGTCATTGGTTTGCTTTTTTGATGGATCGAGCACCTCTTCTATTGCGTCATCAATGCTCGATATGTGCACTGTTTCTATGTTCTCCGCTTGATTATTGCCTTTCTCTTGTACATTCTGCATATCATATTGGTCCTGAAATCTGAATTAGAAATTCGATCAGCCATCCGTGTGTGAATGTTGACTTAAGCAAAAAAACTTACTCTTCGAAATCTTTTTGGCAAGAATTTTTTTCACTTTGTACATCTTCCAGGTATTCTACTGGTTCTTCGCTTATATATTGCTGTTCAGTGGCGTACAATGCATTTGTAACATCTTGTTGAATTTCGTCGGCCATTCGACACGCCAAATCATACTGGTTGATTTTCTGAAAACATCGCTCGCAAACGATGTCATTTGGGCTGAATCGCAGCGTGTGAGATTCCTTCAAAAAACTCTGTATAATCTCGTGAACACCGATACCAGAATATTTCGTCTTCGTCCGTATTCGCCAAAGGGATATTGCAACTTTTTTGACCAGAAAAAACGCCATCTTACGTCGTGCCCGTAAATTATTTTACTGTATATTTCGATGGTAGAGCTTGAACAAAAGTTCAACACTATGCATAAACTTGGAAAGAGCTTGATAAACTTGATGAAATACATATATTTTATGGTAGTTGCAATACCCCTATGGTATTCGCACGCTATTGTGCAGCTTTGTTTCAGAATTGCAGATGTAGCAGTTTAAATAGTCCATTTTTGTTCAGAATGTTTATGGTTCTCAAATTTTGGTGCAAACTTCTTTTCCTTGTGCTCAACCAATTCTTCAAAGTTCGTGTAAACAACGGAAATCGTAAAAATTTGAAAACAATCTATTATTTCACTTTGGATAAATTTGAAATTCACAATTTTAACGAGAGAGTGTAAAAGATCAAATGAATTATTTTTTACAGTTGAAGCGTCACTCACTTGTCAACAACAACAGAAAATAAAACAACGCCTGACTTTTCGAGCTGTCATTCGCAATGTTTGAGCATTTCGTGTTCGATCACGCTGTCAACAGGCCCGAGCATTGTTTTTATAATGTTCGACAGCAACTGAACTTGGAGAAGAATCTCCCATCTGTGAGAGGTGTATGTGTGTTGTTGTGACATTTACTCTCATTGTGAATTCCGATATTGTATTAGGTCGCATAGCACAGTTCTATCTGAAACGCCTGTGCGCTTACAACCCAGACCATCGAGGAAGACGAAAAAAGAAACTCCGTCGCACGATTGAAAACGGGAAAATTCGTATTGAATTTGGATTTCCAGCTGCTGAAAAGTTACCAGCTTCACATGGCAACGTGTTAAATTTCGTGTGAAAATGTGAATCAATCGACGAAACGAAAGTGGAGAAAAAAAAAATTGCATAAAAAACTGTTGTGCGTGCAAAGTGCGGGTGTGGATAAAAAAAAATGGCAACGCAAAAACCTGGCGAATGGGCCAGTTGCATTTTATCGAGATTTGAAGAGCAGGTAAACCGAATCATACATGAATTTTCTTCGATTCGCATGAATGCTAAGTGAAAAATGCATGAAACTGATGCATTTTATTGTGGCGAAGCATAGATAAAATTTTCATAGGTCAACTCCCAAGATGATGTGAAAAAAGTCAAAACTCAGTGAAAAGTGAATTGATATTCGAGAGAGAGACAGTGCAAAAAAAGTGTTTATCGATCGATATTATCGTGCGCTTACAGGCCAAGAGCTGCTGTTGCTGCTGCTATGGATGTGCGTGTGCGAATGTGTATAGTCAGTGCGTTCCTCCACATTTCATTGCATGTTTGTATATGGACTCTCATTGTAAACAGAGCAGCAGCAGCAGCAGCGGCGTCGACAGCGACATTCGTAGCAGCAGCAACACAATATATATATACTATCATCACTCCTACACCACTACCACCGGATTGCCCATTCGGTGAAATATACATGAACGGGGCCGCAATCCGTATGAATGAATTTTCCACTCAATTGTGTCAATCGGACTCTGCAGAAAGTCGCGTGGGCGCATTGTTTTTATTCTTGAAAAGTGAAAACTGAATGACACCACACACGAACGAACGAGCAAACTAACGAACGGCTACGTGCCATTCACATCTGTGGATGTGTCTTGTGCGCCTGTGCACAGGAATGTGACTCTCAGTCTCATTCTCTTGACTCTACTCCGACATTCGCCTCTCTCTCTCTCCGTTTGTGTGTTGTGCGAGTTTTCACTATGTATATTGGCTTTCCATTTTCGATGCTGTGCTATGCTAACATATAGTTTAGCTTGTGGTGGTCGTGAATTTCACTCACTTTTGTATAGCGCGTTGTCGCGCTTCTTTTTTGTTTGAACGTTTCGAAATTTTATGAATGAAATATTTATGATTTGTTTTGTTCGCTTGTCCCGTTTGGTTTTTTAATTCGTTCGATCGCGTGCGTTAAAACACCTCTGTAACACTCTGATGAATGAAAAAATAGTAAAATTATTGATGTCGACAGGAACAGAGTAAAAAAACGAAAAAAATTAGTTTAGATGCTACTTATAAAACTAGAAAAAAAAAACGGAAACCAACGACGAATATGTAGTACTGCAATATGTATTGGGTTGTCTAATTGATGCAGAAGCGACCTTTAAGCGGTCTAATTTTAATTCAGTTTATTTGTAGAATCTGTACAACTCGTGAATGTTGACCTCGTTCGGTGCCTTCTTTACATTTTTATGAATGAACGCCACAGCGGCCAAACCGTAGACAAACATCCACGGCTCGTATATTTGAATACAAAATTTGAATGAAATCTATTTAAAAAAGATGGAAATTAAAACGAAACGTTGTGCGTAATATCGAGTGTCTTTTTTGTAAAAATGTGTGAATTCAAGCAGAAAATTCAGTGCTATTTTTGGCTATTCTTTTTTGTTATTTTTCGTTGAAACTGAAGTGTTTACTTTGCTTTTTATTCGTGCAGCTACCAGTCCGTGTTGGGATTCACAGCCCACAGGCGCGTCAAAATTATGAGCATACTATGACATGTTTGATACAAATATCACGATATAAATTCTCATTGATCCTTGCTGGTCTCACAAAAGCACTTCAGCGTACAAATGAATCGGTAATTTCAAATTAATCCATTGACTTTTACTATCACTCCCGCCGATAAGTGAACCTAATCATTATTCGTACATTTTCTCCATTTATTTTTTTTCACGCGTCATAACACACAGTGGGCAAATGGAACGATACGCCAAATGGAGCCAGAGCGATGTTATCACGATACTTTAGTTATAATTTTAACAACTCTGGAACGTTGTTTAAGCAATCAAACCAAAGATACATCACGGTTCGAAGAAGCAATGAATGTGAAATTATTGCTTCGTGAACTATGCCAATTTATTTATGTGAATGAATCAAATTCGAACGCACAATCGCTCAAGGCGCTCGCATCAAAAGTCATCTTTGCATTGTCACAAAACCATTTCGGTGCTGTATTCAATCGAATTTTGGCTCGGCTGCAAGAGTTGAGCGCAACATCGGAAGAAAATCCCGACTCTGGTGACCTTGAACTCATTCAACACATTGACTTGGATATCAATCGATTAATCAAACTATTGACTGGTGCGTATTTTTGGTGTTCAAGGATTGTTTTTTTTGTAAGTACATCGATTTAATTCCGGTTTTATTGTCCTTTTGTTTAATTATCTAGAAATCAATCAAAAGTTCCGCATGGTGAAGAAGTCAGCCCATTTGGCTCTCTCTATTTCACTAGAGAAAGCAATTTGGAATTGGGTTGAATTTCATCCACACGAATTTGCCGAAATACAACGAAATCAAAACGACGAACTGGCCAAGTAAGCAAGACAACAAATACTGAATTATTTAAATGAACCAATGAATATTTTAAACCAATTGACCTTTCCGTAGATGCTGTGAAATCCTATTCGATATACTGGACTCGTATGTTGATAACAAGAAAATGCGCACCATTGTTTGGCCGCTACAGATACTATTGTTGGTTTTATCTCCGGTATGTATTTGGAGATTTCATTGTAAATTTGGAAATGAAGCGTTTTTCTTATACGAATGTTTCCACGAATTTCACGAAAATATAGAAAGTGTTGGAGGAAATTGTGAATGCAGACAGTGGTGCTCCGTGTTCGCCGCGTCATTTAAAGAAAAAGCACTTCATTGACACCATTAAAAAAGGTGTAACCGCACACGCATCGTCCAAACAATTAACCGAATCGGCAGCTATTGCGTGTGTTAAACTGTGCAAAATTTCAACGTACATACCGACAACAGAATCAACAAATGTCACATTCTACCTGGTGCAGTGCGTCATCAATGACATTAAGGTAAAATAATATCCTGCCCAGATAATTTGCTTTTATCGAAAGAAAGAATAAATAATAATGAATTTGATGTTTTGTAGGCATTATTATTCAATCCAGCAAAGCCGTATGCTCGTGGCCAAGGACCAAATTGCTCGGATATTGAACTGATGATCGATTGTATGGTTGCATGTTTTCGTATAACACCTCACAATGCGGAGGCACAAAAGGCTTGCCTCCTTTTGAGCGCACCACCTGCTTATCATTTTGTGATTGTTAGCTCTTTGCTGAGGTAATTTGAATGTCATTCTCTTTCCCGATATTTTAATCAAATTATTTTCCATTCATTCTTCGTTTTACTTCGTTTGAATTCAGAATTGTGACTCAGCCTCGTCTTCCGTGGTGGCCACAAATCGATTTGGTGTATGCGCGGTCCGAAGCGTTGCGAAATTTATTCACAGACACTTTGAACAAAGCGACTCAAGGGTACATTGCACACACACCGCTTCGAATGATCACATCACTCACGTTGAAAGCCAAAGATGGCCAGAATCGATTAACTCGGCCCGAAGATGGAATTGCTCATAAAACGTTGCTTTTGCTTATGGTTCGATTGGTTCACACAGATCCGATGCTACTGCTCAATGTACGATCGAATAGTGATCAACTAAACAGTGATGTGGTGAGTATTAAACTCTTTTGATTTTCAAAGAGAAATGACAAATGTCCAAACTTTTTTTCCAGAACTTCATGAAGATTGGTCACGATGTGTCCAGTTCAACGGTTGAATTGATAAATGGTCTGGTAAGTTTGGTGCATCAGGCGACAATGCCAGATGTTGCTCAAGAAGCTATGGAAGCCCTACTCGCTTTGCATGCACCAGACAAAATCGAAGTATGGAATCCAGAAGCGCCGGTCAACACATTCTGGGATCTCAGCTCGCAAGTGATGTATTCAATTTCGCAAAAATTGGTGCAACACCAAATTGCCAACTACTCCGATGTGTTGAAGTGGTTAAAAGAGATTTTGATTTGTCGAAACACATTCTTGCAACGGCACAAGGATTACGCCAACGTCGGAACTCATGTGCAAATTTGCTATAATGCGCACAACAAATTGGTGGTGGTGCTCTTTACGTATTTATGGTCAGTTGATTTGGAAGCGGTAATAACCGCTTTGTCCTGCTTTGGATTATTGTGTGAAGAAGCTGACATACGCTCCGGACCGGATGAATCGCCACTAAGTATTACAGGTAATTATCCTTCATATCAGGAGCTAGCTCAAGTTGCATCAACAGTGAAAGCATCTAATCCAACCAGTCGGGAGGATTCAAAGTTTTCATTCTACGAACAAACTCAAGGCCGTTTCTTGCTTCAGAAGAAAATTATGGCTTTGCTGCGAAACGTTCAGTACTGGGATGAAGGTGTGCAATCAGCATGGGAAGAAACGTTCCGAAATTGGGAAGCAACTTGCAAAATTTTGCAATCTTATCCCAAAGGAAAGTCAGAAGATGGCCAAGAAATATTTCATCGTGCCATTGGCAAACGCAGAGCTAGTCATCAAAGTTCGGAACATGATCTTGAAGAGCAAATCAATGAATGGGCCAATATGACGTGGTTCCTGCTATCGCTCGGTGGTGTTTGCTTACATAAAAGACGACCACCGAAGAATAACTCACAATCGGAAGATTCGATAAAACATCAACAATCCATGTCATCGTTGAATGCATCGCTCAGCTCATCCGGCCGTGGATCAATGCATCCAAGCACCACATCATTGGCCACATTGAATGCCAGTCCACAGGAAGTGCAATACTGCCCAGTCACCCAGTAAGTTTAATTTCAACTCAACAGATAGACACGTTGACATTCTTTTTTTATCTCTCTCAAAACAGATTCATAAGTCAATTGCTTCGATTACTTGTGGCCAGCAACGAGAAATTTGGACCACAAATTCAGAAACATGTAAAAACTTTGGTAGGAGAGGAGATGGCACCCGATCTCTACCCACTATTATTCGATCAAATTCGTGGTATTGTCGACAAATTCTTCGACCAACAAGGTCAAGTGAGACCGGTGAGTGTGGCAAAAGCGATAAAATATCCGCTTAATTTTGCACCATTATTATTGAATAACATACTAAATTACTACAATTTGGCTCAGGTTATTGTTTCCGACATCAACACTCTGTTCATCGAGCATATAATTCACATAATGAAATCGATTTTAGAAGGTCGCCAAAATAAAGAGCAAAACGAGCAGCCAACGGTGTCCGAGCATTTGGGCATAACAAGTATTGAAGGGATGATGTTGGGCATTGTGCGATATGTGCGGCACTTGGATATGACTGTGCATGCGATTCACATAAAAACGAAACTGTGTCAATTGGTTGAAGTGATGATGAAGCGTCGTGATGATCTCGCCTTCCGACAGGAGATGAAATTCCGAAACAAACTGGTCGAATATCTAACCGATTGGGTGATGGGAACATCACATCAGATTGCGCCTCCAAGCAGTGGCGATGTTTCAATTATGACAAGGTTAGGCTTCACAATTTTCTCCATTTTTATCACGTGTTTAAATCTTCATTTACCTTTTGTTTTTCTTCTACTTCGCATTGTTAGTACATCGTTAATTTTCCGAGACTTAGACTCAGCTTGCATGGAGGCCGTTGCAGCTTTATTACGCGGTTTGCCATTGCAACCGGAAGAGTCTGACCGCGGTGATTTGATGGATGCAAAGAGTGCTCTATTTTTGAAATACTTTACACTTTTCATGAATTTACTGAACGACTGCGTTGACATGTCTTCGGAGGCCGATAAGGATATTAGCAATACGCCAATGCCTATCATTCGACCGAGAATCACCGCCGGAAAATTGACAGCTCTACGAAATGCAACTATTCAAGCCATGTCAAATTTGCTCAGTGCCAATATCGATTCTGGCCTGATGCATTCGATTGACTTGGGCTATAACACTGATCTACAAACCAGAGCAGCTTTTATGGAAGTTTTAACACAGATTTTACAACAAGGAACCGAATTTGATACTCTCGCCGAAACAGTGCTGGCCGATCGTTTTGAACAACTCGTTCAATTAGTTACAATGATAAGTGATAAAGGTGAACTACCGATTGCAATGGCATTGGCCAACGTTGTCACCACTGGTCAGATGGATGAATTGGCTCGTGTTTTGGTCACTTTGTTCGATGCAAAACATCTACTTTCACCATTGTTGTGGAACATGTTCTATCGAGAGGTTGAAGTGAGCGACTGCATGCAAACCTTATTCAGAGGCAACTCATTAGGCAGCAAAATTATGGCGTATTGCTTTAAAATATACGGAGCTGGTTACCTGCAGGAATTGCTGAAACCACTTATTATACCACTGCTTGATAAGCAGATCACATACGAAGTGGATCCATCGCGGTTGGCCAACAAAGACGACCTTGAGCCAAATCGAAAGAATTTGATTGCGTTGACCGAAAAGGTGTTTGATGCCATTGTCAATTCGGCCGAACGATTTCCACCACAATTAAGATCGATGTGCCATTGTTTGTATCAGGTGAGGAAGACACGTTTTTGCGTGTATTTTCTTTTTAAATTGAAATGTTTGCACAACAATTTTTGTGCATTTCTAAACTAACTTTTTATCATTTTTAGGTTTTGAGCAAACGTTTTCCAAATCTGCTGCAAAACAATATTGGCGCCGTTGGAACTGTAATCTTTTTACGATTCATAAATCCAGCCATTGTATCGGCACAGGAGCACGGAATTGTCGAAGGGCCTGTTCCTCCTTTACTCAAACGAGGCCTGATGCTGATGTCCAAAATTCTGCAAAATATTGCAAATCACGTCGAATTCTCGAAAGAGCAACACATGCTTTGCTTCAATGACTTTTTACGCGCACACGTTGAGGCTGGAAGAAGGTAATATGCTTGCTCATACGTTTTCATTCAAAATGTTCACTATATTCATCTTTTTTCATACAGATTCTTCATTCAAATTGCATCCGACTGTGAGTCATTAGACAATGTGGCTAGCATGAGCTTCATTTCTGATGCAAATGTGTTGGCTCTACATCGATTGTTGTGGACTCACCAAGAGAAAATCGGAGATTATCTGTCAAGTAGCAGAGATCACAAGGCAGTCGGACGAAGACCATTCGACAAGATGGCCACACTGCTAGCATACCTCGGACCACCAGAACACAAAAACGATTCATGGTATGTTTCAGAAATAAGTCGAAAATGTATGTAGTGTATCGAATATTATTACTGATAAATTGAATATTTCCCTAGCTTGCGTTGGACTTCCGTAGATATAGCGTCGGGTAATTTTGAAGACATAATGAATAAGCACCAAATGCACGAGAAAGAGGAATTCAAAGCGTTGCAGTCGAACAATATATTTTATCAGTCTGGTCAGAGTAGAAGCGGATATCCAGTATTCTATTACATTGCACGGCGCTACAAAATTGGCGAAACAAACGGTGATCTGCTCATCTATCATGTCATATTAACGCTTAAGCCATTTTTGCATGGTCCATACGAAGTGTTTATCGATTTCACGCACACATGTTCTGATAACCGCTTCAGGACTGAATTCCTGCAAAAATGGTTCCATGTGCTACCGAGCGTAGCCTATAAAAATCTGCACGCCGTTTACATTTACAATTGTAATTCATGGGTGCGAGAGTATACGAAATTCCATGACCGCATTTTGCAACCGCTCAAAGGCAACCGAAAGCTGGTATTCGTCGATGCAAAAACCATATGCGATTGCATTGATCATGATCAGCAAAAGCTACCCGGCGCTACATTGTCATTGGACGAAGATTTGAAAGTGTTTAACAATGCACTGAAATTGAGCCACAAAGATACAAAGGTAGCGATCAAAGTTGGACCGACCGCATTGCAAATCACGGCAACGGAAAAAACCAAAGTACTTTCACATGGCGTATTGCTAAACGACGTGTATTATGCATCGGAAATTGAAGAAGTGTGCCTAGTCGATGATAATCAATTCACACTGTCAATTGCCAATGAAAGTGGGCAGCTAAGTTTCATTCATAACGATTGTGATAACATTGTTCAAGCCATAATTCACATTAGAAATCGATGGGAGCTAAGCCAACCGGATTCGGTGGTTGTTCATCAAAAGATACGGCCCAAGGATGTGCCGGGAACACTATTGAATATGGCACTATTAAATCTGGGATCATCGGATCCTAATCTGAGAACAGCTGCATACAATCAACGTATGTTTATTAGGATATTTCTATATTTTTTACTTTGCTTTCAATAACATTTCATTTTTTTTTTCTTTTCACAGTGTGTGCACTGACAGCTACATTTGATCTCAAAATCGAAGGACAACTTCTCGAAACTCAAGGATTGTGCATTCCATCGAATAACACAATTTTCATTAAGGCAGTCAGCGAGAAATTGGCCACAAACGAGCCGCATTTAACGTTAGAATTTTTAGAAGAATGTATTCAAGGATTTCAACGAAGTACCATCGAATTAAAGCATTTGTGCTTAGAATACATGACACCGTGGTTACAGAATTTAGTCAGGTAAAAAATAATCTTTAAAACTAAAAGAATTTAGTCTTAGTTGATTGAATAGAAATAAAGAGAAATTTGTCTCCGTTTTGTCCAGGTTTTGTAAGTCAAGTGATGACACCAAAAAGTCAAAAGTGTCGCAGATACTGGAGCGTCTAATCAATTTGACGATCGAACAAAAGGAAATGTATCCTTCAATTCAGGCGAAGATTTGGGGTTCAATCGGTCAAGTGAGTGGAGATATTTTCAAAATTAGAATTTCAGTATGAATTTCAATTTTCATTTTGTAATTTTAACATTTAGATTCCTGAGCTGATTGATATGGTTCTAGACAATTTCATACAGAAGTCAGTTGTGTCTGGATTAGGTTCACCGCAAGTTGAAATAATGGCCGATACAGCGGTGGCATTGGCATCGGCAAATGTGCAGCTAGTAGCTAAGAAAGTGATTGGACGTTTATGTCGCGTAATTGATAAGACGTGCACCAATCCAACTCAATTTTTAGAGCAACACATGATGTGGGACGATATCGCTATTTTGGCACGTTACCTACTCATGTTGTCCTTCAACAATTGTTTGGATGTTGCCAGGCATTTGCCGTATCTCTTCCATACGGTCACATTCTTAGTGTGCTCCGGATCGCTTTCGATGAGAGCTTCAACCCATGGTCTTGTCATCAACATCATTCACTCACTCTGCACGTGCAGCAAACCATCTTTCTCAGGTAAGAATGTCAAACTAATGGTAAAATTCGTTTCGAACTGAAGAAACTTCATTAATTTTACTGTTTCAATCCACAGAGGAAACACAACGCGTGCTCCGTTTAGCTCTCGATGAATTTTCATTGCCAAAATTCTACTTGCTCTTCGGCATTAGCAAAGTCAAATCGGCCGCTGTAACTGCATTCCGGTCGAGCTGTCGGCACCCAGGTGAACGATGGCTGGGAAACGAACGAGTCTCACAAACATTGCCTCCAGATCGTGAACGTCTTGCATTGACCTCCCTTGAAGTGATTGCCGACGCATTGCTTGAAATCATGGAAACGTGTATGCGCGATGTGCCAAACTGCGATTGGCTTCAAACGTGGACAAGTCTATCTCGAAGCTTTGCATTCTGTCATAATCCGGCACTTCAACCACGTGCGCTCATTGTTTACGGGTGTATAAGCAAAACCGCCACCGACCAAGATGTCAAAGAGATTTTACGCATTCTAGTCAAGGCACTGGAATCATTTAACGATATTGTTTTGATTGAAGCTCTTGTCATGTGTTTAACACGGATTCAACCGCTGTTGCGACAGGTAATTTTGGGTTTGGATTATTGTTGTTTTTGTCATAAAGAAACTAATCGCATTGTGTAATTAACTCAATCAGGAATCACCGATCCATCGAGCACTTTTCTGGGTAGCTATTTCCGTTCTTCAATTAGACGACGTGACGTTGTACGCAGCCGGGTTGGCTTTACTTGAACAAAACTTGCATACGCTTAATTCGCAGGGTGTTTTTGATAAGAATGTAAGTGTTTCATTTGATTTGGACCTTTTCTGTTATTTTGAAAACGAACAAGAAATTGAACATCGACTTTTTTCGAGTTAACGTTTACGATTATTTTCAATCATTCAATTTTGATTTTATAGAATATCAGCGATGTTATGATGGCAACACGTGAGTCACTTGAATGGCATTTCAAGCAACTGGATCATGCGGTTGGGTTATCGTTCAAAAGTAACTTCCATTTTGCATTAGTTGGACATATGTTGAAAGGTTTTCGACATCCAACACCAACCACTGTGTCACGGACATCTCGAGTGCTCACTGTGCTACTGGGAATCGTTGCTAAACCGATGCAACGCGACAAATTTGAAGTCAGCTCCGATAGTGTTGCATATTTAACCGGTGAATATTTTTTTTCTTCATAAATTGAAAATGCATTTTCCGTTGTGAACAGTGAAGAACCAATTAGCTGGCTAATTAGCCGCATAAGTGTATACTGGCTAACGAATGTGTAGACCAGTGAAAAAACTTCAGTATGAACTGAACGCAATCATTTGAACTGACGTTTGTGACTGACATTTAAATCACCAGGTCAGAGTTTAAATGAATCCAAACATCGACATTTTTTTTATTAAGTTTTTGAAAAAAAAAACTCAAATTATAAAAATGACTTTTAAATTGAAAATTAATTGAAATATATTAATTTTTTTTAAAATTTGTATGATTTGAATCAGAATACGCAAATAAAAAATTATTATACTTTGAATGTACTCATTTCACACAGATAGCTGGCTAACGATTGGCTTACACCAGTTGTTGGTGTAAGCCAAGGCTAAGACAATGCTGGCTAACGAAAAACCATCACTGGTTGTGAAAATCAGAAGTCCTCATTGGAAAATGTCCATACTTTTACATGAAATTTATTGTATTGTTTGTTCAATATTTGTGATCTCCAGCTCTCGTTGCTGTATCGGAGGAGGTGCGCTCAAGATGTCATGTGAAACATACATTACCTAGATGGCCAGTTGAAACCGAACCAGATCTGATCGCAGTTGATTCCGAAACCAATCAAACCGTGAGTTGTATAGAACAAGCATTTTATTTTAAACTAACAACACAAACAAATTACCATAATCCAAATTTAACACGAAAACTGTAAATATAAATCAAACACACAATATATAGATTTTAAATATCGACCTCTGTACATAATGACCCATTTGTTGTGTACTAATCTATTGTGCAATCAATGTTCTAATCAATTAATATATATTTTTGTCTTTGTTTTTTGACTAAATTTTTTTCTCTACATTTTTGAAACGAACTTTCCCCCTCCCAAAATATCAAAATGTATGGCTCAGAAGGCATAGGGCTCAGAGCCGATTATATTTTGTAACAAGTAGAATGATTCATAAATGCACTACTTCTATGCAATTAGTCAAACGTGATTCGATTTCATTTTTGAATAGAATTTTCTTGCTACGTTTTTTTCTTTACTAAGTAGTATGGCGTCTGTATTAACAGGTATACTTGAGTTGATATGACAATGTGACATATTAATAGATGCGCAATTCCAAGGATATTGTTCTTTATTCTTCTATGAATCATCGCTTTATGATAAAATAATGTCTTCATGAGACGTCTTCATTCCGAATTATCCGTTCATCAGATTATAATTATCCTATATCATGTATGTTTGTTCAGTTGATGCGTTCGTTCGTTCGTTTGTTTGATACCAAAATTCAAAGAAAATCAATGGTTTTTGATTGATTTGCACGGCATATGTCAGTTTGTTGTCGATTGTTTTCCAATTTTGTGCTGTGGTGACAATTCTTTTAAATTGTCGCACTTATCAACAAGTATTTTACTGACATAGCTATAGAGAAGTTTGCATCAATCGATATTCGCATTGTGTCGACAAAACGTTGTTCATTGAAAAAGATCGCTATGGATGATAGCAAAAATATAGGAATGCTGTGAGCAAATTTACGCAATCGTTCGATCTAATCTTAAACGTCTAAAATCTAGTTGCTTAAGCACCATTATTCTCATATCAATTTTTTTTAATGATACATTTCATTTGGAACACACTTTTTAACCATATTAACTTGGATATTTTTCCGATCCCAATCACTCGAATACTGGAATTTATCACATATGTCTGATCAATGTTTAACTTTTGTGTACACGAAATGGTATCTTATCACTACTATTACAAGTGCTCAAGCTCATTCAAATATGAGTTCAGCTCACGCAAATTAAGTCAGTTTATTTTTGGTCTCCGTTTGATCCGTTGAAAATAAAGCAAAAAGAAAAATCTGATGCAATGATGTTGAAAACCGTTGCTGTGCTGTGTTATATGCTTTTCGCCACTTCGTTGGCAGAAAAAGTTTTCGATAGACGATTAGAAAATCTTGAGGGGTTAACACTTTCAGAACTGTTGAATGTTTCTTTGACAAGCGAGCGCGGATATCATGAAGCTAATACATTGTTCAAATGGAAATATGAAGATTATTCAGTTGAAATTTCGCTGGACGAGCGTGATATATACATTTGGTATGTAAATAAGAGAATATATGTGGACTTCAAGATGGCTGAGCAATTTTTGAAAGGATTTGGTAAATCATTTGAAAAATTGTCAGTTGGATACAATATGGTTCCAGAGAATAAACATGCAGAAATTGGGAAATATATCAATGAACATTGTTCAGAGACACTCGTCGAATTCAAAGCCCATCACAGCCGAGAAGATGCATATAAAAATATGACGAAATCATTCACCAAAGTTGAAAAAGTTATCTTCCAAGGCCTTTGGAAAAACGTTGATAGCAATTCATTGGGATTGGATGAGCTCTTTCCCCAACTGCACGTTCTGACTCTTACCTACACCAATGGTTATATTTTGGATCGCTTTTTCCCACAATTGGACGAATTGAATGCTGACGTAGATCCTTCACCGGCCTTCGTAAAATTCTTGGAGAAAAATTCACAAATCAGAATATTACGGTTGGCATCGCCGTCCGTGGACGTACTTCGTGCCGTTAATAAATTACCTCAGCTAGACACTTTTGCTTTCCATGTGCCGAAAGATTTGAGTTCTTATCAAGAAAACCCTGTAATTAACTTTGAACATGTTCAAGATGTTTCAGTTGTTGATCTTAATCGTGACATTGAATCGGGAAACATTACATTCAAACATTTGAACAAACTTCATTTGACAGTAATGGGAAAATTGGATGACGTGTGGCTTAATTTCATTGCACAGAATAAAGAATTGGAGACACTTGTGATCACAACAGGAAATTTGAACAATTCAACACTTCTAACACTAGCCGAAAACCTCAACAAGCTAGTTGACGCTGATATCCGTTGTGATTTCGGTCTTGATATCGACAGCATTGTGAAATTCTTGGAGAGCAATCCAAACATGAGGACATTTACTTTGAATTTTCCCAAGGGCTCTGTAGCGTACTTCAATGCGTTGACTGAAAAACTATCTTTGTCCGAAAAACTGAAAGGTTCCAAAGTTGCGCCAGTTGATAAGCGATTTGACAGTTTGAAAATTGTTTTAGCACCTCCAAATGGAGCATCATACATTTTTGCCAGCTCAACTTTAGCAGTCACTTTAATAACAGTTGTTGTAAATGGATTTGTATTCTGAGTGAAATATTATTTTGAGTCTTTAAAATACAATTTCAATTATTTAACAATTGAAAATATTATAATACTTATTTATAAAAAAATAAAAAAATACGTAAAATTGAGTTAAAAACATTGTTCTAAAATCATCTTTGGTTTAAACGAAGTAAAGGAAATCGTCTTTATTCTCAAGCTAAACTGAATCCGTGAGCATAAAAACGACTTATTAAACAATCGCCGAACAAAACGATACAAGAAAAAACTACCGAACAAAACGTACCACAGCGGTAATGTGTAGCGGAGTTTCGTTTTGAACGGTACCGTCCTGCTGTGTTACGTTTTTAACGTGTGTTTTGTTTGGTAGTTTTTCCTTGTATCGTTTTGTTCGGCGATTGTTTAATAAGTCGTTTTTATGCTCACGGGTTCAACTATCAATTGCTTTGAAATCGCTGATCATATAAAACATCATATCAGCTGTGAAATTTGTATCCTAATCAACAACTCCATAATTTTCTTCCATTCTTCTAAAAAAAAATTGCGTCAGAAATCCTTTTCAGATTCAAATGATGCCATCTTATTTTTGAACTGAAAGATATAGAAAAAAATGAACATGCATTGACAAGGTGTTAAGAATGTAGACGATCCTGATAAGATAGAATTTCCCATAATGTCATTCGCCATTGAATGATAAATTGCGGGTTTCGATTGTAAAATCATTCAGTTCACTTTTGTTTTCCGATCTCGGTAGTTCCATATCAAATCGTATAGAAAACTTGTACAAAAATGAAGATTGAAATTTTCCTACTTTCGTGCTGTTTGGTCATACATTTGTCCACATCGGTGGAAAACAATTCTTCATCGGACGTTGATAGACAATTGAGAAATCTGGACAAATTAAGCCTTTTCGACCTTTTAAAGACCAGCCTGACGAACAGTGATAATCACCGTGAAGCAAATACAATATACAAGTCAAAATATGGTCATTTACCGGTCGAAATAATGGATAGTAACATATATAGGGAATTAAAAATCGAGTATGGACAATTAAACGTTCGTTCTGACATAGCTGAACGATTTTTGATGGCTTTTGGATCATCGATTCAAAATTTATCAATTGGATATTTTTTCATTCCCTTCGACAAACACAAAGAAATCGGAAGATGTGTTAACACCTTCTGTTCGGAGACGCTGGTGGAGTTCCAAGTAAGAAGTTATAAAGAAGGCGGATTCGATGACATGCAGAAACCGTTTAGAAATGTAGAACGCGTCGCCTTCGGTGGGTCTTGGAAAAATTTGGGTAAAAACACTTTGGGCTTCCATGAACTATTCCCCGAGATGCGTGTTTTGAGCTTGACTGGTTATTCCAGCGGTCATATTTTGGATCACCATTATTCGAGTTTAGTCGAATTCAACACCAACGCAGAACCCAATGAGGATTTAATAAAATTCCTTGAGAAGAACTCGCATGTTAATAAATTGGGTTTGGTATCGTCATCAATGAAACTACTTCAAACTGTGAATGATAAGCTGCACGATTTATACACTCTGGGTTTCAATTTACCAAGTGATTTATCGTCTTATGCGGGTTCTATTACATTTGAAAATGTTAAAGAAGTAACAATCAGAAACCCTTTTGGGTTTATCATGCAAGAATCAAAATTTTTATTCAAACAATTGAAAAAACTTGAGTTGGTTCTCATTGGAAGAGTAGTTAAAGTTTGGCTTGATTTTATTGAAGCTAATAGAGGACTGACAACACTAATAATAAAAAACTTAGATTTAAGTGACTCAACTCTAACCGAACTTTCAACGAAAATTGACAGTTTGACTGAAGCAGAAGTTCACTGTGATAACAGCGTTAAAGCAAAAACTGTAGAGAAATTTCTCCAGAATAATCCATCGATGAAGAAAGCTATTTTGAATTTCTCCAAAAGTCCTGCATCATTTTTATATTCTTTAAAAGAACAACTCAAAGACGAATGGAAAGTTACGGCTGAGAACGATATTAACATGAACAAAATAAGCATTATCAAATTAAATTCATCTTCTGTTGATAGCGAAAATGGACCTGCTGACATTTCTAACTCAGTTTCTGTTGAGTCATTAAGAAATTTTGGAGAATTAAGCCTCATTGAACTTTCAAAGGCCAGCCAAACAAGCTTCAATAATTACCGAGAAGCAAATGCAATATACAAATCAAAATATGGTCATTTACCGGTTGATATAAAGGGTGGTTTACACGGAAATAGTGGAATACTGGTCGTTAATGAACGTTTAAACGTTGGTTCTGACATAGCTAGACAATTTTTTATGGCTTTTGGACCGTCGATTAAAAGTTTATCAATTGGATATTCTCTCATTCCCTTCGACAAACGCAAAGAAATCGGAAGATGTGTTAATACCTACTGTTCGGAGACACTGATGGAGTTACAAGTT